TTATGTTGCTGATTTGACACATTCTCCACAGCATCAGACTGAAGATTTGACATCTTTCCTTCAGATGTGAAAACATGAAGCTCCTGCTGAACATCAGGTCAGATCCCTGCAGTGAAAACTCACGTCAAACTTCCCCAGGTTGGGTTTCTGTTTTCCAGCCAGGATCTTCAGAGCCGTGGACTTCCCGATACCGTTGGTCCCCACCAGCCCCAGCACCTCTCCGGGTCTGGGGATAGGCAGCCTGCAAGAGCAACAAGCAAACCTCAAAAACAAAAACTATTCAGAAACGAAAGAATCAACCTCTGAACCGTGAAGGGAACAAAGTAATTATTACCAACTAATTCTGATTCCTGACTTTTTATAACAGATTTCATTTCTTTAATCTCCAAATTTACATTTAAGCTGCAGAATCACATCTACAGCAGGAAGGAAGGATAAGGTAAAGAAACAAAGGAGACACGAAACAGGAAAGAAAGCCAAACATTAAAAAGCAGGACATGAAGACGGAAGGACATGAGACATGAGCAGAGGAAAACCAAGAAGGTAATATAGAAGGACACAGGAAAGGAAGGAGAACGAGAAACATTTAGACACTGAAAGGATGAATATAGCAATACTAATATTTTCTATACTTCTCCAACGATGGGAAAAACAAAAACAATCCATTCGTGCGCAAAGTAAGGAGACCTAAAGCTGCATACCTGTGCAGTTTGAAGGAGTTGGCACAATATCTGTGAGTCGTTTCCTTCTCCAGGTTGCTGGGAAGGTTGACGATGGACAGCGCTCCGAACGGACATTTCTATGACGAGAAACGGTGGTGAGACAAAAGGAAAACAGAAAGCTCCTTCATTCCTTCTATGGCCGCCGCTACCTTGATGCAGATGCCGCAGCCTATGCAGAGGGACTCTGAGATCCACACGATCTTACTCTGAGGCGTCACCTCGATGCACAGCTTGCCTGTAGAAACACAGTTAGTGAGCTTTCTGTGATCCTACCGCTGCTGTCCGATCACCCGCTGTCCCAACACTCACCCATGCGGACCACCGGGCAGCTCTTCTTGCACTCCTGGCGGCACTTTTTAGGTTTGCATTTGTCATGGTTGACGATGGCGATCCTGGTGTTCTTGTCCGCCATGATGGAGGGCTGAAAAGACGGACGTCTGCGGAGCTAAAACAGAGATGATCCAACTTTAATATCTACTCTGACCGTAAAACAGATGTTTAAAAATGATTATTAGAGCTTTCAGCTGTCCAAACGCCTCTAAGGATAAAGTGGAATATATGAGGAGCTGATTTAACAGAAGATTAAAATTCAAATACATCAGTGCAGCTCTTAATTTGGTGTGAAGCCACAAGTTAATCTCTCCAGATAAAAAACAAAAGAAAAAAAAACAGCACTTATTGTTTAAACCAGGTTAGCAGAGGGGTCCTGTGTGAGTTTGGTTTGACTGTTAGGCTCCAATATCTGCAGCAGCAGATCCAGAACCAATCAGCAGCTGAAGCTAAAGAGATCACAGCTGGGGTTAATCTCGCTGTTCGCCAACAAACTGAATATAATCTGGAAAATTAGGAACATTATCTGTCTGCTCAGAACAGCCGACGGCCTGGTGTGGCCTCAGAGACAAGATAACCTCAACTGGCCCCCACCCTCAGTCATCCTGTGACTATTAGGACATTCGTTCACCCTCTTTACGGCAAACGTTTTGGAAAATATCAGCGTTTCGTATTCGTTTTGACTTCGTGTGGACGGGGCCAAAGACATGGCTGATGTTGCATTTTAACTCCTTTCTCCTCCCATTTTCTCCCCTGCTCTCAAGCTTCTGCCTCAGTCTGTCTTAGGGGTGTAAATCACACCCATCATGGCGATTCGATTTAGTATCAATTTCATGATCCAATGATTCGATTATTTTCAATACTTAAGTTTCTTTTTAACCTTAGAGGCTAGACAATGTTTCAAATTTGAAATAAATCAATGAAAGCTCTAATGTCTTGATGCATTTTATTTGAGAAACAACAGCAAATAACAGAAGTAGCAAAGTCGTACTCCACCTAATAATGCCTCTATGTTCTGAAAGGCCTTGCATCAAAATATACTGCAATGAGTGCATAAGTGCACTAGCAGATTAAGTAACAAAAATAGGCCTATACTACATTCACTATAGAATAACAATACTCAACAAAATCATTGCAATGAGTGCAAAATTGCACTAGCAGCAAATGGTAACAAGCATGTGTGCATTAAGTTATGTCACATATCCATCTAAAGTTTAATAAAACATCTCTCCACGTAGAAAAATAATCTTATCCCCTTTTGTCTCTCTATAGATGCTCATAGATCATTTAGGTTCTCACGCTGGTTTTACTTTTCAACCTGATCTCTAGACGCCATGTAGGCTGAACCGTCCCTCTGGAAGCTGATAACCAGCAGCCAATAACCTGGAAACTATGAGGCGGGATTGGAGAGACGTTTATAGGAGAGCAAAGCGGAGGAAGGCTACAGCTTAAAGCCATGGCTCTGTTCTTTTAATCAAAGCGGAGGAACAGATTAAAGCTGCATAATTATTTCCCTCTCTCTGTCTGCAGCACTTTATGCTTTACTAGAGCGGCTCCATGAAGCCAAAGTCGCTTGTGTCAGTGCGGCCAAACCTTTTATGTGTTTTAGCTGGAGGTTGGGGGGTGTGATTGTGGAAGGGGTGGGCTTCCTAAACAATATGAGACAATAATGCATACAAAGGATTTATGGTAAATATAAGCATTATATTGATTCTCTAAACTATTATTTGATGGCTCCAGGGTGTGTGGATGTTATCTTTACTCTCACCTTTTAGATAACAGATGTAGAGATAGATTGATACTTTAGTCAGGTGATATCAGTGTTAGTATGCAGATATATGCATCAGCCGATATTTTCGCACTACTGGCACAATCAGCTGCCATGCCTTGAGATCATGCAAGGCTCAGGCACTGCTGCTCCCTAAAAATATTATTGTTTTAATTGTTAAAAAATGTTTCTCTTGTGTTTACACTGAGACGTTTGTAACATCTATTATCATGGTGCCATTTTATCTTCAATAATATCCCTCCTGTAGCTTATATCAGGAGATCTGTTAGGCTTTCAAAATAAATCGGTATCGCAAATATAAAAAAAAAATTAAAAAACATAATGAAAAATCTATTACCAAAATGAGGTAATAGATTTTGATAAGTATTAAGATTACCATTCCTGACCAAACTGAGTCCTTATTTTCAGTTCAGTATTTTCATATTTAAGGTTTAATTAAATTTACATCCTTAAAAGAAGTCTTAATTTCTGTATCTTTGTCAGTAAGCTTTATGGTTAATTTCTGCAATACATATAGAACATTCTGAGAAACTGAAATATAACTCTAAGCCTCCTGACAAAACAAGTGAACAAAAGCTGTAATCTATGACAATATTTAAAGAATATTAGTATAGAATAAACATTATTTGGTGCAAAAAAGAAGAAGGTGCGACATAAACATTATACCCTAAATAGATATAAAAAAGTAAAGTACAGATGGCAGAGACAGTGGATGCAGACTATGTATTGAGATGCTAGAGATGGGACTTTACACTTTGTTTACATTAAACAACTCCTTCAAGATTGCTTTTCTTTCAAAATTACACTTTCAACTTCGGGGAGGCAAAATTAGAAGCTAAAAATGCGCAAATTAAAAATGAAAAATTTTAAATATATTACTCAAAAATATAAATATGAAGCTGAAAGCTGTAATTTGGGGATTAAAACAATAACTGTGGTTCTTGCATGCTATACTGGTGCATTTAAATATATTTTTATGTTTTATTATCTTGTGTGTTTAGTTGTGTAAATATATATATATAACTGTAACTGGAGCTTGTAACAAAAGTAATTTCCCTCTGGAATTATTAAAGTATTTCTGATTCTGAAATGGGAGAGGTGCCCTTCAACCATGTCCTACTGGGACATGAACATGATGGTGAAACCTTAAAAATCTCTAATTTCACAATTCAAAGCTTATAATATAAGGCTTTTATATAAGGATTTTCATTGTGTTATTAGAATTTAAAGCTCTAACTTTAGAGGCACTGTCTGAACAACGCTTATGGTAGTAGGGGTTACTAAATATACCCATCTAAAACCTGTAACCATAGAAACCTAAATATTTAAAGGGTACTTTCATGTAACACGTGTCTAATAAGTGGTGTTAACTCCAGTGGATCCATGTTATCTGCAGTGTGCGTCACAGACGTGTACGGTCAGGCCTCCAACTGTCCAGAAGCACACAGGATTTACCAAGATCCAACTCTAAACCACAGACTGGTTTTACACGTCCTGATGAAACGTGACGGGCGGTGGCGACCAGCATCAAATGTGGATTTTCTTCATAATCCGTTCAAGATATTTAATCTACTCATAAGCCGATATCTTTTACAGACATGGATTCGTGGAAAAAAACTCAGATATGTGTTGAAATATATCCATTAGGCTGTAATTTGTGCATAAAATGGTAAAACAGTTAAATATCAAACGTAGTTCAGACCATTATCCTCCCGTTATGGAGAACATTGAGAATATTGGGGTCCTCTTCGCTTTAATACATTTTTCAGTGTTAAATGCGCTTCCTGTTAACTAACAAGCTCTAAGGTGAGTATTCAGACGAACACTCGTTTAATGTAAAGCCTAAAATCGAAGTTGAACAGTTTCCTTAAATACAGTCAGCAGGGGATGCTAAAGGTTAGCCGTTAGCTGTAGGCCCGCACCGTGACAGCTGCTCAAATACAGAAACAAATACAGACATTCTGATAGAACCCTGAGCACCATGGCGGAAACTCACCCCTCTTCGGCTCCCTTAACCCACCTCGGTTGGAAATAAAGTAGAACCGACGACAAGAAACAAATATTAAGGAGTAAAACGTATTTTTTTCCTCGCAACGTGTTTCAAGTGAAGCCGGCTAGAAAGATGGCGGGAGGGATGCACATTTTCCTGCGACGGGATGCTGCTTTGACGTCATTAAGAGGCGACACAGAACCGGATTAAAAGAAATATACCATCTTCAGAAAAAAAAACTATTCTACTGGGAGGATTTATTACAAAATTTCTAGCCAAATCATCGTCACATGAGCTGACACAGTGTTGGTTTAACTCTTTTTGTAAGTTTTGCTTTTTTACTTAATTCTAAACTCAAATTTTGAGCCTTTAAAGGAGTTTGAGGTGAAAAACTTTAGCTACAGTAAGCTAGCTGCGGCGTTTTTTAAAATTTTTATTTTGCAGTTTTTTTTCCCGATAAATACGTTATTACTTATTTCTCTCACATTCCTGGTGAAGCTATTTTAATCCCTAAAAATGACTATTTAACCCGATTACATGATTTTATGGATTAAGCTCAAAATGTACAAGAGCTTAATTTCTTCTTTGAGTTTTTGAACTGTGATCGCATACGTTTCTCTGTCTCCATGGTTACAGAATGGCCACCCCGAGTAAGACCCCACCCGGGGCTGACCCGAAGCAGCTTGAGCGAACAGGGACGGTCCGGGAGATCGGCTCCCAGGCGGTGTGGTCTCTGTCTTCATGTAAACCAGGTAATAAAAATCTGCATTACACTTCTAGAAACATATCTCTGAGGAGTTTTCACTGAAAAGGATCGTTCTGTGCGCAGGTTTTGGAGTGGATCAGCTGAGGGATGACAACCTGGAGACCTACTGGCAGTCAGATGGATCCCAGCCTCACCTGGTCAACATTCAGTTTAGGTATTTGCTACCAGGAAGAAAAAAATCTACCTTTTTTCTTGTTTTTTTATTAGCTTTTAGCGTTTATGGAAAAAAACAACACATCACATTACATCTTAATGCAGCCACTTTATATAAAGTGATGCCTGGTTGTGGATCTTTTATAGATCTACCTCTTATAGCACATCCTCCCTCTCATTTATTCAATTCAATCTAATTCAGTTTATTTATATAGCGCCAATTCACAACACATGTCATCTCAAGGCACTTTACAGTTCACTAGATCATACAATCAATTTGATTCAAAGTTTTCTGTTTAAGGAAAACCAGTTAATTGCATCGATTCATTGAGTCGAATGCAATCCCTCACACTAAAGGGCAGATTATATTTCTACAACCGCACACATCAAATGTCGCTTAGGTCTGGTCGCCAACCAGTTTTGCTGGTATGCTTCTGCACCGTCGGTCTAGAATTTCTAGGGATGCACAGCAGTTCCCTGCCAAAGCACAAGGGGGAGCCTATTCGAGAACCCTGCGAGAACTTCGGCGGATGGTCACGAGAACTTCGGCAGCACCGGCAGGAGTGTTTATCTTCCAAAATAGCAACGGAGCGTCTGTAAGATGTCACGGTCACAGAGATGAATTTAGAGTTGCTAGAAATCGAAGAGGAACAGGTTCTGTTAATGGAGTTGGCAAAAAGACAGATTAACCTTTCGTCGTAGTCGCCCATTGTAGTTGTTTCTTGGTTTTGACAAATGGCGCGCCCCGGCACTGAATCGACAAGGACACAGTCCACACAGTCAGCCGGAAAGGCATACCGAGGACCAATCACAGCTGCTTATTGTCTGCGCACTCTGCTTGAGGTCTGCATGAGTTTGCAACCATCCGATGCGTAGTCAGGATTTTTTTGAAGTGCACATTGACAGTTGCAGAGCCTCTGCTTGGGGGGGCGTGGTCACGCACAGAGACAGATTTGAAGGTTGCAGAGGCTATGCGTCAGAAGCATAAATTTGCATTAAGCATGTTTGTAGCGACAGTGGAGAGGAAGAACTCCCTTTTAACAGGAAGAAACCTCCAGCAGAACCAGGCTCAGTGTGAGCGGCCATCTGCCGAGGCCGNATTATTAAAGTATTTCTGATTCTGAAATGGGAGAGGTGCCCTTCAACCATGTCCTACTGGGACATGAACATGATGGTGAAACCTTAAAAATCTCTAATTTCACAATTCAAAGCTTATAATATAAGGCTTTTATATAAGGATTTTCATTGTGTTATTAGAATTTAAAGCTCTAACTTTAGAGGCACTGTCTGAACAACGCTTATGGTAGTAGGGGTTACTAAATATACCCATCTAAAACCTGTAACCATAGAAACCTAAATATTTAAAGGGTACTTTCATGTAACACGTGTCTAATAAGTGGTGTTAACTCCAGTGGATCCATGTTATCTGCAGTGTGCGTCACAGACGTGTACGGTCAGGCCTCCAACTGTCCAGAAGCACACAGGATTTACCAAGATCCAACTCTAAACCACAGACTGGTTTTACACGTCCTGATGAAACGTGACGGGCGGTGGCGACCAGCATCAAATGTGGATTTTCTTCATAATCCGTTCAAGATATTTAATCTACTCATAAGCCGATATCTTTTACAGACATGGATTCGTGGAAAAAAACTCAGATATGTGTTGAAATATATCCATTAGGCTGTAATTTGTGCATAAAATGGTAAAACAGTTAAATATCAAACGTAGTTCAGACCATTATCCTCCCGTTATGGAGAACATTGAGAATATTGGGGTCCTCTTCGCTTTAATACATTTTTCAGTGTTAAATGCGCTTCCTGTTAACTAACAAGCTCTAAGGTGAGTATTCAGACGAACACTCGTTTAATGTAAAGCCTAAAATCGAAGTTGAACAGTTTCCTTAAATACAGTCAGCAGGGGATGCTAAAGGTTAGCCGTTAGCTGTAGGCCCGCACCGTGACAGCTGCTCAAATACAGAAACAAATACAGACATTCTGATAGAACCCTGAGCACCATGGCGGAAACTCACCCCTCTTCGGCTCCCTTAACCCACCTCGGTTGGAAATAAAGTAGAACCGACGACAAGAAACAAATATTAAGGAGTAAAACGTATTTTTTTCCTCGCAACGTGTTTCAAGTGAAGCCGGCTAGAAAGATGGCGGGAGGGATGCACATTTTCCTGCGACGGGATGCTGCTTTGACGTCATTAAGAGGCGACACAGAACCGGATTAAAAGAAATATACCATCTTCAGAAAAAAAAACTATTCTACTGGGAGGATTTATTACAAAATTTCTAGCCAAATCATCGTCACATGAGCTGACACAGTGTTGGTTTAACTCTTTTTGTAAGTTTTGCTTTTTTACTTAATTCTAAACTCAAATTTTGAGCCTTTAAAGGAGTTTGAGGTGAAAAACTTTAGCTACAGTAAGCTAGCTGCGGCGTTTTTTAAAATTTTTATTTTGCAGTTTTTTTTCCCGATAAATACGTTATTACTTATTTCTCTCACATTCCTGGTGAAGCTATTTTAATCCCTAAAAATGACTATTTAACCCGATTACATGATTTTATGGATTAAGCTCAAAATGTACAAGAGCTTAATTTCTTCTTTGAGTTTTTGAACTGTGATCGCATACGTTTCTCTGTCTCCATGGTTACAGAATGGCCACCCCGAGTAAGACCCCACCCGGGGCTGACCCGAAGCAGCTTGAGCGAACAGGGACGGTCCGGGAGATCGGCTCCCAGGCGGTGTGGTCTCTGTCTTCATGTAAACCAGGTAATAAAAATCTGCATTACACTTCTAGAAACATATCTCTGAGGAGTTTTCACTGAAAAGGATCGTTCTGTGCGCAGGTTTTGGAGTGGATCAGCTGAGGGATGACAACCTGGAGACCTACTGGCAGTCAGATGGATCCCAGCCTCACCTGGTCAACATTCAGTTTAGGTATTTGCTACCAGGAAGAAAGAAAAAAATCTAAAAAAATTTCTCTCTTTTTTGTTGCTTTTAGCGTTTATTGAAGAAAAAAAAAAAAAAAGCAATACATCACAATACACCTTAATGCAGCCACTTTATATAAAGTGATGCCTGGTTGTGGATCTTTTATAGATCTACCACGCATGACAACACATGTCATCTCAAGGCACTTTACAGTTCACTAGATCATACAATCAATTTGATTCAAAGTTTTCTATTTAAGGAAAACCAGTTGATTGCATCGACTCATTGAGTCGAATGCAATCCCTCACACTAAAGGGCAGATTATATTTCTGCAACCGCACACATCAAATGTCGCTTAGGTCTGGTTGCGAACCAGTTTTGCTGGTATGCTTCTGCAGCGTCGGTCTGGAATTTCTAGGGACGTACAACAATTTCGCGGCAAAGCGCAAGGGGGAGCATATTCGAGAACCCGCGAGAACTTCGGCGGATGGTCACGAGAACTTCAGCGGTGCCGGTGGGAGTGTTTATCTTCCAAAACTACAATGGCGCGTCTGCAAGATATCACGGTCACGGAGATGGATCTAGAGTTGCTAGACTTCAAAGAGGAACAGGTTCTGTTAATGGAGTTGGCAAAAAGACCGATTAACCTTTCGTCATAGTCGTCCATTGTAGTTGTTTCTTGGTTTTGACAAATGGCGCGCCCCGGCACTGAATCGACAAGGACAACCACACAGTCAGCCGGAAAGGCATACCGAGGACCAATCACAGCTGCTTTTTGTCTGCGCACTCTGCTTGAGGTTTGCACTAGTTTGCAACCATTCGACGCATAGTCAGGATTTTTTTGAAGTGCACAACGACAGTTGCAGAGCCTCTGCTTGGGGGGGCGTGGTCACGCACAGAGACAGATTTGACGGTTGCAGAGGCTATGTTTTAGAAGCATAAATCGGCCTTAAGCATGCTTGTAGCGACAGTGGAGAGGAAGAACTCCCTTTTAACAGGAAGAAACCTCCAGCAGAACCAGGCTCGGTGTGAGCGGCCATCTGCTGAGGCCGACTGGGGTTTAAGGAGACAGAAGCAGAGACACAAAAAGCAGCTGTAAAAGGCGGCCCCGTCCAGGAAACACACAGCCAGGCAGATGAGAATATAATTCTTAAGCATTTACATGCTTAAAGGCTTAAGACTTTCAATTTCTGTTAGATATCACTTTGCATTGACATCCTCGCATGTCAATAAAGTCCCTATGCTAAAGTTTATACACTTAGTTTTAACATAAATTTTCCAAAAATATTTTTTCAGGAGAAGGAAAAACAAAGTGATATTTTATTATGGTAACAAGAAATATTAGTAATAAAGTTCTTATTGAGTCCAACGTGGAATGAAAAATGATCAGCTTTAATGCAAACCAGACTCTTGCTTCGCTTGTACGGAGACAAAAGTACGGTGGCCCTGAAGTGCAAACTGCAACTACAAATCTAAAAGCGCAACTACATTAAGGAAATCGCAACTACATTAAGAAAAACAAAACTGCATAAAGCAAAGTGCAACTACATTAAGAAAGTGAAAAT